CTCCCGCTGAAGATTTTTCTATTTTTTGTGAATCCTGCTAATAACCCAGCCATCACTTGTGATTGTTCTCTCAACAATAACACGATCTGCCACATCATTAGACTGTAGCTTGCACTCTGAGTACTCATTAGTTAATCATATTCACTGCAGTAACTTAGTTTAATATAACTGACTTATTCATTCATTGTTTGGTGATGCAGGAATATTGATAAAAACTTCCTCTCTAGTCCCTTGCCTGCATTTATTGGAAATATGTCTAGACTACAGTTTCTGTGAGTACTGAAAGATGGTCTGTAAAGCATTTCATTTATGGTAGACGTTATTTCTCTGAAAATTTTCAAATAAATCTAGCTCTGTAATTAATGATTTTCAGGCTTTAAGATCAAGTTTCCAATAAACATAATAGAAAGGCAGAAAATATATATGCTGCTGCTTTATGGTTAAACACTTCCACTTCCTAGCCTAAATGGTTTTTCATGTCACTCTCATATATGTCATTATCTTAATTCCACTCTGTTTTATGCATGACAGACAGTACTGGAATAGGAAAATATTTTTCCTCATTTCTAGGTATATTTTTTTTTCATTTTTTTACTACTACTATCTGCTAATTTCTTATATTCAAGAAGACACTATTCTTTGGATTATTTATTTATTGATTTTACTTTGTAGAAGTCAATTTCCCACAATGGTTTATCTGGACCCATTCCAAAGGAGCTTGGAAATTTTCTGGAGCTATTTATGCTGTAAGACTTGAAAAAACTCTCAATGAGTCCTTTTGTCACCATATAAAGCATCAGATAGTTCTGGTTTTTAAGAAAGCATTTACTCTTAAATGCTACCATATGCCCATGAAATGATAAATTAGTTAATGATTGGAAGGATACTGCTGCTTCTAGATGTAGTTAACTTGTACAATGTCCTTTTGTTACCGCTTACAATCTAAAGACCTAGGCCTTGCAACTCATAAAATATCCTCTTTAAATTTTTTGACACCTAACACTCTACAAGCCTCATTCCCTCCAAAGCCAAGTCACCAAAAAAATGGCACAAAAGTTAGCTTCTAGAAAACTATGTCTAAGCTTGCAACCCTAATCTCTACATACCATCTAATTGTTAGGTCCAAATGGCTCTAATTTAATCACACCAATAGAAATAAAATCAAACTATTAATCAATTATATAAGAGATAATAATTTAATTTGATTCGATTCAATCGCCCTATATTTACAGATGAAAAACAATATCCAATAGTTATAAAGAATTATAAATATACAATCAAATCAAACATTTATAATTAATACCTATAGATCCTCTTAATCTCCTCTAATCTTATGAAGTATTTTTAACCCAAACAAACACATACCCATGTGTATCATTTCAATACAAACAAATGCATACTCATATACACATATACATCATACTTATGTGGACTCTCTTAATCTTATCTAGTCCACTTATAAATATTTAAATATACACATCCATAATACATAAATCTCAAGTAGTCTTATGGAATGTCTACCCATAAAATCCTACTACTCTTTTTCATCTTTTTCTTATATCTAACCTTATAGATATTTCACATATTTATAAACATATAAATTTGCCTATTAAGAATTTTTTTTTTTTTTAAATGTTTCTTCTACAAGTCAACTTGTCCATCAAGTAATATCTAATTAATTCTAAATAAATTTATTATGAGATTTGAGTATTATTACTAACACTACTTACAATGATAAATGTCATTCATACATTTTTCTTTGACATAACTTATATGGACTAGATTTTCCCGAGACTCCTCAAAAGTGTTAGTTGCAAACTCACTTGAAAGATTTTTTCTATTCTTTCTCTTTTATGTTAAAATTGCATGATTTATCGTAATCTGCAAGTATACACATGGTAAAATACAAATGCATTTTTAAAATTTCAGCAAAAATGTTTTATGTGAATCTATGTCATCACCAAGGGAAGAATTAATTTTTTGCTGAGATAGCTACCATATCAGCAGTGCAACATCGTAATCTTGTCAAAATATACGGCTGTTGCATTGAAGGAAATAGGCATCTCCTTGTTTACGAGTATCTTGAGAACAAAAGCCTTGATCAGGCGCTCTTTTTTATGAGAACATTCTGTAATCATTTCATGCTTTCTATTCTTTGTTACAAATTATTATTTTACAAAGAAAAAAAATAAAAGAATGGATTTGAATGGTATGATAATATGTGCAAGATTTATTTTCTCTTGTTCAGTATTTTGACAGGAAAATGCAATACATGTGCAGTCAAATTTATTTCTTTGTTGATTAATGAATAACTTTATGAGGTTGCTTGCGCTATAAATGCAGGAGATAATGACTTGCATCTTGATTGGCCAACTTGCTTCAATATCTGCTTGTCAACTGCAAGAGGGCTAGCTTTTCTTCACGAGGAGTCTAGGCCAAGGATTGTCCATAGAAATATAAAGGCAAGCAATATTGTGCTTGATACAGAGCTGTATCCAAGAATATCTGATTTTGGATTGTCAAAGCTTTATGACGACAAGAAAACACATGTAGGCCTGTCAACCTTTTGTTGATGAGCTTCTGTACCCAAGTAGCTAGATTTAGGAGTTTTCTCAATAAACATTATTAACCAATGTAATTTAATTATCTTGAAGAGGCTACCTGGCACCTGAGTATGCAATGCGTGGGCGTCTCACTGAGAAAGCTGATGTTTTTGGCTTTGGTGTTGTTGCTTTGTAGATTCTCAGTGGTAGACCAAACTCTGATAATAGCTTGGAGGATGACAAGATCTATTTTCTCCAATGGGTGAGTATTAGGAAATCTTGTTCATGTCTAGTACTCATTGTGGAAATATAATTCATGATGCATGAGATTTATTTCTACAATGTTTCCAGGCATGGGTTTTTTTGAAAATAACCAAAGCTCGGATCTGTTGATCCGAGTTTGGTTGAGTTTGATGAAAATGAAGCTCTCCGAGTGGTGAGAGTGGCACTTCTGTGCACTCAGGGATCACCAACGATGCGGCCGCCCATGTAGTTGCTCTGCTTGCAGGAGATATTGAAGTAAGCGGTGTCATAACAAGACCAAGCTATCTAACTGACTGGGATTTTAAGGATTTAACAGGCAGGTTTGTGACAGAAGATACACACACATCCACTATATCTGATAATAATGACAACAATAGTAAGAAAAGAATTAACCCAGGGGCAGCACCAATTCTTTCTCCAGTAAATGTCACAGAATTCAGTGACATTATTGAAGGAAGGTGAGAGGTGTATGTCCTTGCTGCTATGTCATCAAGACAGAACTGAAATTCTTTTAATAACATTGTTTTTTGAATTGGAATTTGCTATGAAGTTCATTACAATCATCATGATCAGGAATATTTGCTAGGACCAATTTCTTCCTGGTATACTCGGTTGCAAAAGTAGACAGATTGAGACCAAAAAATTAAGTGAAGATGCGAAAGTGTACCCTTTTTTTTTTTTTTCTTTTGTGTTGCAAAACCTGCATTAATTTTGTGCAAGTTGTTTGGCTGATGTGAAACATAGTGTCCACCCATTTTCCTTTCCACTCTAGGGGAAGGACAGGGAAGCAACAGGTGGATAGAAAATGACAACATGACTAATTAAAACACAAACATCAAAAGGAATTCAGAACGTGCTGCCAACCAAAGCGATAAAGATTTTGGAAGGGAAAACTAGAAAATTAAGCCCACTAGTTGACGAGGTAAAAGTCAAGCCGAAAACCTCCACAAAGTTCAGACAAGCAAGAAGTACTTGGAGCTCACAGTTTCCCAAAGATAGACATTCATGATTTACGACGAAAGACAGAATTAGTCCCTCTGTGTTTGGTCTCTCTCCATGTGATGAGCATTAGCATATAGCAGAAGTTAGATGGATACCCTTTGCTCCAAAGAAACCCAAGTCAGATTTTAAACAACTTTTTTCCAAAATATTCCCGGAAGAGAGAAGTCTGAAAAACGGGATATGTGTTGATAGTTTCACTTCCCACGGTGGTTTTCTTTATCTTGTTATGCTTTGGTTGCTATGTAATGGGAAGGAACAAAGGGCAACAAGAAGGGCGTGCAATGGCTGGCTCTAGAACTTGGCATTAATCCTCAGCCACCCACAATGGTTGCAGTTGCAGGTGGTGTTATGGCCACAAGCACTTCTCCACCAGCTCCTCCTTATCAATATCCTGCCCTTGGTGAGGTTGCTACGCTCAAAGGTTTTTTTTTTAATTTTTTCACTAAACTACTTTCATCGTGTACAAAAAATGTCGTGAACGGCAGGATTCGAACCTGCGCGGGCAGAGCCCACATGATTTCTAGTCATGCCCGATAACCACTCCGGCACGTCCACAACTTTCTGTGGGTTGTCAAAATAACCTTTTTTCTAAACAAAAAAAGAAGAGTATTGCTTGCCAAAATAGCAAGGTGGCATTTTGAATTGTTTTACCATTAAAACTAAATTTTATTTAGTTAGCTTGTGAAGTCAAAATTATACTCTAAAAAATTAAACCATTTGCTTGTTTTTTCAAACTATTCAAAACGTTGAAAATTTGAGACATGAAAGTTCATTAAATAAAGATGAATATATGATTTTTTGCACCAACAAAATGTTAGCTCAATTGATAAAAATTGTTTTTTTTAACATAAAAGATTTAAGTTTGAGTTCAGTCGATAATATTTTATTTAAGTTATCTCAAATATATAATTTAAAATTATTATTTTTAGATTGTCAAATATAAACATTTTATATTAGCTCGAGGATTATGTTATATATATATATATATATTTATCGATTTTATTTAAATGATTGCACAATAGTAGCCCTTGTCACCTACAATTTTTGGTAAATTTATGGGTTTTTTTTAAGTATAAATGGGATTCTAATCTCAAGATAAAAAAAATATAATTATTAAAATTAAAATTTCAAATCAATTAAATATTAATTTTTAAACATAATTCGTAAAATAACTTTGATTGAAGTACTGCTTGTACAAAATTGAGCATTACTAGAGAAATACTTTCATTGGTGGACAAAGCATAATACTGAACTACTTCTAAGAAACATCCTAGGAGAATCATATGCCGAGTCACCCTTACTTTCTCAACCGGCAATGCTAACTGTCTACATTGGATATGGATTTGATCTCTGCTGAGGCCCACCAAAAAAGTAGCCGTTAGAGGCTTGACCGTTGAGCTGGAGAACGTTCGCAAAGCAAGCACATTTTAAAAACCCCTTTGTCACCTCTTTCCACTGTGTCCTGGATAGAACCTGAAACCCAAAACCTGTTTATATATATTCTCCCCCATATCCTCTTTCAGACAGCAAAAGAAACAGGGATTCACAAACACACAGAAATCTTGGGAAGAAGTGAAAATGGGTTTGGTTGTAGTCATCTCTCTGCCACTGATTTTCTTTTGCATATTACTTGGTGTTGGATGTTACTTCCTGGGAAGAGCTAGAGGGAGACAAGATCTCCGTACCAACCCTCAGATTTACGGGGTACCAGCTCCGCCGCCTGGTGCAACAACCTCTTTCCCATCTCCTCCTCCTCCGCCACACACCAAGCCCGACAACTTGGCCAATGTTTGATAGGGGAATCTCAGACTTGAAGCTACTCTAAAGTCCAAGATTTGATTTCATATCTGGGTTTCTTTTAGAAAATTTTTTTCACATATCTCTACTTTTTGGGTGTAGAGAAAGGTTGATTGTTTGTGGTATTGATGCTTATACTTCTGTGAAATTGAGATATATTGTGTTGGCGCATATTGGCTGAAATATCAATCAATAATATTTGTAGCATGTCTATTTTCTGATGTATAATTTAGTTTAAACTTTTGAAGTGAATTTTCTTTTGCTTAACCCAGTTTAATCCAGTCATTTGATAATGCCTGCAAATAAGAAATCAAATAAATTAGCATTAGCTAATGGATTTTTTCTTTTTTATTTGAGATTGTCAGAATTTGAACTCTAATAACTTAAAACTGAATTAAACATTCCATTTCATGTACAAAGAAGAGTCACAGAGAGATAGGATGACACTGAAAAATACTGATGTTTGTGTATTCAGTATTCCTACAAGGACTAAAATCTGTAAAACCTCCAAACCAAAAGTAAAACTGTATTATATGTGAGAAAAACCTAAAAACTTCAAAATCTAATTAGAAGCAGTGGTAAAAAAAATCAGGCAGTTAGTTCGATTATTAGCTATTTGCGGCTTGCATCAATTGGTATACCGGACAGCAAGGCTAAGCGCAATTGCCAACCTGTCTCTGCTCAAGAATATCAACTTCTTTAAAACTTTGTGCTATGATTTAAACTCTATAAACCATTCCTACTTCGATCAGAGAGGTATGTGGAACCCCAAGTGCTGTGGCTGGACGCCTACAGTTCTGTCTCAAGAACCCGTAAAAAACATTTATGACAAACTTCTTCAAGTAGGAAGATGTTTCACTCGCCAAAACACAAGTGCTACCCATCATGTATGCCAGACCAGATTCCCTTGCCTCTGTGAGATCCTCCAATTCCTTGCTACGCCCAACACCGCGAAATCTCACTTTTTTCTTGCTAGATCCAGTACTGACTACATTCTCAAGCATCAAAGCAGCTACATCCTCTGGTGGACTCGATTGCTGCTGATTCAGGGCAAATTCCCGTTCAAAGACTCGAAGTTCACCATCATCACTGCAACACTGTAAAAAATCTGCCATGGTTTCAACCAGATGACTCTCAAAATCATGACTATCCTTCCTTTGATCCTTGTAACCGTATCTAACAACACATTGAAAGAGACAGAACTCTGGTGGGCCAATGCGACTGATAACAAATCGCTGATTGGCAGGAACTTTTGGAACTGTAAGAGTTTGAAGAGTAACAAATATAAGGATACGATGAAAGGCAGGAAAGTTTGTGACAAAATGGGCAAACATTGGTGGAACCCCCGTGGCCACATTTGAGTAGATTAGTCCAATTCCAGGAACACGATTTATTCCAAGGTTTGGGCCCACTCTTAGAAGCATGTCCAAGCAAACCCTGTTGTGCGACTCATAAGCCTGTTTCTTTAGAGTCCCATAGTGCCATACGCACATCGTAGACAGAACTATTAGGGAGAAAATCAGAGGGAACCAACCCCCTTTAGGAACTTTTGCAAGGCATGCAGAGAAGTAAAAGAACTCCAGAGATCCGAAAACAACAAGAAAAGCTAGAGCTCCCAAAATATTCCTCTTCCAAACCATAACAATAACCAGAAACATCAAGCAGGTGGTAACCAACATTACAGTAATCACCGCAAGACCTAAAAAATGAATAGCAATAAGTCAAGGTCGAATGTGAGTAAGCTGCAGGGAGAAGAGAGGGATAAGAGAGAAAGCATTCAAGATTGTACCATATGCATTGCCTATTGTGTCAGTATCCCTATAGCTAGCCACAACAGCAAGGCATAAAACCATCAAGATCCAATTCACCTCTGGTATGTAGATCTGTCCGTGTATGTGATTTGATGTATGTACCACCTTGACACGTGGGAAGCACTTCAAAGCCCTACACTGGCTGATTATTGAGAAAGTAGCAGAAATAATTGCTTGACTTGCAACAGCTGTTGCAAGGGTTGCAATGATAAACACTGGCCAGAATACAACCTCTGCATAGAAAAGAGGAAATTTGCCATGGGATTATGCACTCAAGCCCAATGTACTATATCTGATAATAATGGAAAAAAGTATCTCTTATTTTCACCCTTACTGGTATCATTAACATTCTTCTATGCCAGCAAAACAATTAAAAAGCAATAGTATCATTAACAATAAAATGTAGAATTATTTGATTGGAGCAGATATTTAAAGATTTAATCAATCCAGACTTCTTTTTTTTTTTTGGCTCAGCAGTAGACCAGACTTAAACATTTACCCTTTAAACTCATCCAAAAGGCTTACATATAATAAACATTTACAATTGTTCTTACTAATCTATATGGATGACATGTTTTTGTTGCGACCAAACACAGTACACACCAAAACCACTCTTTACTTATAGAGCCATATTATGGAGCATTCTCCAATGAAATATTACAAGAGTCATTCATTTGATTTACCAGGGATTGATTTATAGAAGCTTCTCTGAAGGTCCTCTTTGTGCTTGGAGAGATAGGCAGCCTCTCCCATATATGCCAAAATTAAGCAGGGGTATACAACAACAGTAAATGCAATCTGTTCATCAGAAACATATGTTAATAGAAATCAAGAAAGCAGATCAGTTAAAGTCATGCTTTCACATAAGAAATATGCAAATCTCCTATACAATCAACCAACAGAAAAAGATAGGAAACAGAGAAATATAAAGACACATTCATTAAGACATTTACAATTTTTAAAACAAGGAACTAGATAGGAACCGATCATAGCATGCATTTGATAATTGCTCATTCCTTTCCAAATTATTCAAACTTCGTACAAGCACAGGTAAGAACTTACCCGGATTGAAAGCTGTGAAAAATGACCAAGATCAGCAAACATGGCCTCTGCACCTGACAAATTGAAGAACGAAAATTCATTATTCTAATCATCATTACCTTAAATTAAATGGGTTTAGCAACAGAGGTAACAGTCAAACCTGTAATGCAAAGAACAACTCCTCCAAGAGAACTCCATCCATCTCTTCCAGCCTTTTTGAAAAAATTATACGTGTAATATGGTGACAGAGCACTTATTACATGTGGGTTCCAGTGTATTATGTTGTAAATGCCAATGACACTAATGCAAAAGAGCCATGCTAACAAAATAGGAGCAAAAAGAAATCCAACCCTACGAGTCCCAAAATGCTGAAGTGCGAACAGCCCCACCAAAACCACACATGCAATCAATGCAGTATAGGCTGCATGAGAGAAGCTAAATTAAGGATGTGCCAATGTGCATAAATAATATTGATCAAAGATGAAAATACTAGCTTCATTCAAAAGGGAGTTATGGAAACTCCTGTCCAAATGTAATATACTAAAAAGCTTTCCTGCAAATTTCCATCTAGTAACAGGAAGAATGCAGGTAGGCATGGTAAATGTATCAGTAATAAGGAGCAACTTGAGTGACTCTGAATCAATAGAATTCTACACTCTAGAGAGAGAGAGAGAAAACGCTAGTTTGACTTACTCTCAGAGAGGCCAGTAGCCTTAATTTTGATGCCATTGATTGCAGAAAGAACTGTATAAAGAATGCAACTCATTAGTAAATGCAGGGGGCGACCATGAAGGAGAGGAAAAAAATTAGCTGATGAAGTAACAGATGCAACTTTTGTGATTAGTTAGTGCAACTAACAATCATATGCAATTTCATAGGGTTCATCTGCAAAGCAACAACAAAATGCTCTGCAAATATCTAATTTCCAGATTCATCCCTCTGAAAAGAATAAAGGTAATCAAATTCCAAGTCATCTAAAAAGAAAGATAATACCAGACATAGATGGGGTTAGGATGCCATCACCAATAACCATGCTAGTCCCCAGGAGCACAACCAGAAGCAACACAAGCCGAGAACTATGATGCTTATCAAGGAACTTTTTTAAAATAGAACTAGCTACAGTCTCCTTCCTGGTTAGTCCAGAGTTGTAGGCAGATATGTCATCATCAGGTGCATCAGAAGCACTCAAAAGACCCAGCTTTGCACGCCGGCAAAGCAATGAATATAAAGCAAAGGTTCCACCTGCAGGAATGAGGCCTCCTTCAGGAAATCCTTATAAAGTGCAGACGTATTTTTCTCAATAAACAAGGTGATAAAATATGCAGGTCTTTGAAAGCACCTTCACCATCATCATCTGCCCCTAAAACAAATATAATATACTTGCATAGAGGGATTAGAGTCAAAGTCCAGAAAACCAAAGACAGTACCCCTAGAATTTCATCATCTTCCTCATGAAGTCTCAACCTTCCCGAAAATGTGCTTTTGTAAACGTAGATTGGTGAAGTGCTCAGGTCACCATATACAACACCAAAACTCTGATAAGCGAGAGACAAAGTAGTCTTGTAAAATTTCTGCATGTAAAACAAGCATCAAACATATTAGAATTTCTTATTCATTATCAAAATTCTTTCTTAAACATAATAAAATAAGCAACAATGCTATGCTATAATTTCTAAACATCTTCAATAAATGGAACGCAGGAAAAGAAAAAAAGCATGTTCAACAATTTACGTGCAAGAAAAAGAAAAAGCAAATTACAAACTCTAACTAATTTTGAAACTCCAAATTTTTCAAAGAAATGAAATATTTGTTTAAAACATAATATTAAAAGCTATCAGGAAATTAATAGAACAAACGTACAAGCAAAACCAAATTCAATAAAATATGAATGAAAAAAATAAATTCAAAACTTAACGTAAGCTCAGACAACTTGTCACATTTACTTCACTTTGAATAAACCTATACGAAAAATATTATCAACAACATTAACAAAATCAACATTCCTACGGTTTTCTTTCACATTTTCTCAGCAAACAAACAAAACCCAAAACTAACAAACATTTGAAAACAACAACAACAACAACTAAAAAACAAAAAACAAAAAAAAAAAAAACAGAAGTACCCAGATGAACAAAAGAACAAATACAAACATCAAAATCCCAAAAATCTAAAATTTAAAACAATAAAAAAAATAAAAGCGGTACCAGCCGAGACTCCCAGGTCACGGACCCGGCTTCCGGATCCATACAACAGTCTTCTTTCTTTCTACTAAGCAAAAACAGAGCCAAACTAGGTATTGAAAACGAAATCGTAAATTCCAACTAAAATTTAAGAAAAGGGCTTTAAGAAATCCAAAAAGAGTGTGTAAAAGAGAAGAGAAGCAGAGACATTTGTAAAATAGTGTGTTTTTCCTTTTTTTGTTCTTTATGAGAGAAAGAGAAGATAAATAGTAAGTTGGATTTAGAGGCAGACGGTTAAAAATATTTTTAAAAGAACGTGTCAAATAAGGAACAGAGACTCGCTTTTAACAACGCTAACAAAAAAAACAAAACAAAAAAATTAAGAAAAAAACTTTGTTTGATTATACCCGTAACCCGTTTAAGTATAATAAAAGCACCAAAATTAAAATTAAATAATTATTTAAATTTTTATTATTTTATTATAATTAATTAAAATTTTATTTTATTTAATTGTTTTTATTGAATGGAAATTAATTAATTGTTAACATCCATTTCTATCATCCAACTGTATAAAAATAAATATTTAAAAATTTAATTTGATAAAATTAAATGTTTGAATACTCATAATAAAATTTTCAATAGATATGAAAATGTAGCAATCATCCCATTATTGAAAATGTTTATGGGAATATTTTACATAATACTTTGAGAATTTCTCGACCAACAGATAAAAAATTTTGTTAAATATATTAATAATAAAATTTTTAGATTCCACGAATAAAGTTTGAAATATGATACATTCTTTTAAGATATATTTAAAATAATTAAAAATTTTCAATAATAATATCTCATGATCCATTTTTCAGCATTTATTTTCTTTTTTCCATCCTTTTATATTTGGATGGGAAAGAAAAAAAAATTGACATGATTGGCATTTGGGAATACAAGTTTGAGTCATTATTTATTAAAAATAAAGTATTTATTGCATTATGAAACTTGATATAGATCAGGTCATGGCCATGGGTTTTTTTTTTTTTTTTTTGTAAATATTTAGTTATAATAAGAGTTCCATAAGGTTATTTGAGAAGTTTGAGTTATGCATATGTTTCATAAAATTAATAATTCTACTATTTTTATTATTTTTTTAATTCTTAATCTACATTTAACCCTTTAATCATTATCTATTTTATTCATATAGAAAGAATATTATGTATCGTTTATTTTTTCTCTAAAAATTTTTTTATGTATCTAAATTTTCTTAAATTAATAATAACGAAAATCTATTCGATATGTTTATTATTTGAATTAATACTTGATTAATTATTAATTTTCAGTATTTGTCTTAAACAAGAGCTACATTAACAAATCAAACTCAAGCCTAATTCCTAATAAATTTGAACCGTACAAATTATCTAAGTTGCCTAACATATTTATTTGCTTCCTTTTTTAAGGGGATAACCTTATCCCTATATATTTCAATGATTTTATCGTTATTCCAAAATTTAGCTAAAAATTTATAATCACATTTATTTTTTAGATTTAATAATATAAAATATGATATAAATATAATATAAAAATATAAAAAATACGATTTAAAATTTTAAGAATTATTATATATTATTTTAATAAAATAAAAAATATACATTTATATATTTTTATGTTGACAATAATTATAATATATAATTTTAACGTAAATTATGATATAAATATATAAATTTTAATATTTTATATGATATAAATATAAAAATTATTAAATTTATTTATTTTATTTTACATTTTATTGAGTGATTTGATTGGTGATGGACTTTCCGAATTAATTAAGAAATGATTGAAATTTTGGGTTGGACTATGCCTAAAAAATACACCAACTTGAATTTAAATAATTCAAAATTCTTGTGGCTTTTCTATTCGACTTTGGGATGGCATCTATGCTATTTTTGTTTGGAAATAGAATGACTTTATAGTTTATGTAATGGGCAAAAAACAAAAACGAAAAAAAAATTTGTATTTATGCTTTTAACTTTGTATGGAAATGCTTATGACGGCATTTCTTGATGGTTAAAACAAATTAGGTTCCGTTGGTATTAGAAAATTTTTATGCAAAGTTTGATATGATTTGTCTAGTCTAATAAATTTAAAATTTTTTTAAATAAATATTAAAATATAAATAATCGCTGATATATAAGGTATTTTAAATTTAATGACATATATTTATATATCATGTAATTAAAATTAAATAATGGTGAGATATATAAATTAATTAAGAAATTTTAAATGTTGTGACTAATAATAATTAAGAAAGTGTTGAGAGTGCAAGAGTGGCAACCTAAAAGGGTAAGTAGCTTGATAAAAGAGGTGATGCATTAACCTTTTAATAGCAACAATTAAGAAAAAAGGAAAATTATGATGAGGCCCACATTTCGTACTTAATTTGAAAAAAAGGAAAGGAATCTTGAACTAAATAATTCAAAGAGTTCCTATAAAAGCAAGTGAAGAAAAAGGAAGTACTTTTTCCGAGTGCCCATTTTTTTTTGGCATTAAACTTGGGATTTCGTATGCGAAAATCATGCCATTATTTTATTATTATTATTGGGGTCTAAAAATGTTATGATTTTATTTGTAACGTATAAGACTTGAATCCCACATTGAAAATATGAAATTTTTATGAGATTTATATGGATTTAGACTTTTTTCATATTAATATCTAGTTTTTCTGATGTGATTCTATCATACAATTGATTATTTTTAATATATTAATTTTTGTTCATTTTAAAATGAAATTCGTAATTCTCATTTATTACTCCAAATATGTGGTTTAAATTTGATTTTTTTTTCTTTTCTTGTGGTAGTGTGCTTGCTTGCACAATATGTTTTTTTTTTTTAGTTAGTCAACTTCCAAATTAATACGATACATGATTGTTTTATCGAAATCATACATTCAAAATTAACACCAATAAAAAGTGTCGATAAAATTAAAATCTAAAATTACTTACGTCGAAGTCGGACCAACATGATCTATTTTCTATGTTTAAGAATCACCACTCTTGACCAACCATTACTACACGTTTATTCCCCATTCCTAATAGAATATTCTATAAATTATTATCGTATTTGACATTTTCAATTATTTAGATTATGGTACCTTCGGTTCGTTGTGATCTTATATTGGTTGCTAAAGTTCATAAAAATAAAATTATATTTTACAAGACGTCCTTATTAATTAATGTCAATTTCGTGAAATAATCAGTATTTATGTCACCATTAAATATTCTACTTTCTAGATAAGCTATGGCGACAGCATGAAATACTTGTAATATTTTATATCAAACCAAAGCAAAATAAAATATCTTCCTTGTTTGACTGGGAAAAGGAAAAAAGACTTCTTCTTTTGCTTTTGTTAATAATTTATGAATTATTATTAAATTTGATAATTTAAAATATGATATGATAATATACATAAATATAAATAAAAATATAAAAATTATGTAATTTAAAATTTAATAATTATTATATATAAATTTAATAAAATTAAAAAATTATATTTTATGTTTTGTATCGATAAAAATTATAATATATAATTTTTATATAAATATAATATAAATATATAAATTTTAATATTTTATATAATTTAAAATTATGAATATACAAATTATCAGATCTAATTATTATTTTTATATATTAATGATAGAATTAATAAATTGTTTTTTATATGATTTTTTAATCTATTATTGAATCTGTATTTAATAATTGTTTGATTGAAAAATATAAAAAGATAAAATTAGTGAATTATAATGTACTTAAATGCGTCACATCAAAATTAATGGAGTTGAATTTGGAAATAGTGGGAAATGTGGGAACTGAAAGTACATGATACCAAACACTATTGACTTTTAAATGATACTATTGGAGAAGTCGTTATCTTTCATTTAAAACTATTGTTTCTTTTGGATGTTGCAATTGTTCACCGTAAAATGATATGAACCAAAATATTTAACTATAATCACATAGTTGAAGATGGAATCAATTATAGATAAGTATTGAAAAGGGTATTTGAATTATATTTAATTAATTTGCAATATTGAAAAGTAGTGGAAAGAAAATTTAGATATGATTATTTTCGTAATAAAATAAAGGTAATTCTTATATGTTATAAGTGATTAGATTTGATGATTCGTATATTTATATTATATTAATTATTGAAATTTATATATTTGTATTATATTTTATATAAAAATTATATATCATAATTTATTTCGATACGAAAATATGAAATATATATTTATTTTATTAAATTTTTATATAATTATTGTTAAATTTTAAAATTGTATTTTATATTTGTATTATATTCATGTTATGTCATTATGTCATATTTTAGATTATTAAATTTGAAAAACATGATCAATTATTTTAAAATGATAATAAATACCAATAATCATTAATATATTGATAAAATATTAAAATTTTAATTATAACGATCATAATTTAACTTTTGATAATATTTATATATATAATATAATGAAAATATGAATCTCCCTTACTTATTTTTTATAAAAAAAAGACTATGATGCGAAAATAATAAAAAATAACATATGATAAATTTTGAGTCCTATACTCATTATATATAAAATTTAAAAAATTAATTATTCAAATAAATTAAATTAAATTTCGTATTCATCCCTCCCGTTTTAAGCCAAAGCTTTAAATAGTTATGAATCTAATTTTGAAATAAACTCATTTTCGTTGATTTGGGCTCACTGTCTCAAAATTTAAAAGCTCAATATTAAACTTTTAGGCATATTTAAAGCTTAATGTGAACTTGCATACTTGATTATTACTTACCAAATTATTATTGATATTGATAATTTAAAATATGATACAATAATATAATATAAAAAATAATATGAATAAAAGATATCAAAATAACATGATTTAAAATTAAAAAAATTATAAATAAATTTAATAAAATTAAAAAATTATATTATATATTTTTGTATCGACATGAATCGTGATACATAATTTTTATATAAAACATGATATAAATATAATATTTCATATAATATAATGATATAAATTATTAGGTTATCAACACAATATTAATTATCATTTCCACTTAACAAATCATGTTTTTTTCCTATAATTCATAATTGCTGTTCATTATGAATTACTAATATATTTTTATAATACCATTAAAGAATCTTTAAATTTTACTTTATCTTAATTCCTTTTCTAGTTGATATTTTATTTTAACTGAAGCTTGAGACGATATCACAAGCTTCGGTGAAAGAAATTTCTCGATGTCTATATTGTATTACACCCTTTGTGATAATCATAGAATTATTTTATATTTTTAATATTTTAATTGATTTTTAAATAATGATAATAATCTCTTAAAGAGTAAACATTGAGCTATATATATATTTTCTTTAATATTCCTAAATGTGAGGGAGAAAAAATGAATAGGGTTTTGGTGATATTTTTGTTCATCTAAATTTACGGTAAGGGCAATGATGCGAAGCTTTTGTTACAAAGATATAATTCTATAATTTTTTTTTTTGTTTTAAATTTGACTCAATCCACTGATTTATTTTCTGGAAGAGTATATTTATATATATTTTTTGAAATTCTTAATTTATTTTTGAATTATTAGTTTTATATTTATAAAATTGAAAAAAAAAGTTACGTACATAAATTCATTTAAATTTGTAATTTTTAAATATCAATTTTAATATCATGTAAATTGATTTATTAATTAATCAATTTTATATTTTTAATAAAATAATATATAAATAGATAAATCAAGATAAACTCGAATTTATTTTTTTTTAAATAATATTAAAAATTTAATAAAGGATATAATCTCGTAAATAACTTCCCTGAATATCTCGTTTTTAACTCTTAAACACTCTCCCTCCTTCAACTTCCGCTCTTTTCAGTTTTCCAAATATCCACAAAGGCACAAACGCTGCCATCAATGCCATTTTCGTAATTCCAATTCCTAACCAAATTTCCCTTTCTCTTATTTTTGTTTTCTCTCTCCCTGCAAAGAAAATGGCGAGCGCTTGGAAAAAGCTGAAGAAATCTCTGATTCCGAAGCTTTCTACCCACCAACACCGCTCTTCCTCCTCCTTCTCCTCCTGTTCCTCAGCCAACGGCACTGCCTCTTCGCCTTCTCCTTCCTCTGTCTCTCGCTCTTCCTCTCTCCTCTCGTACAGCTTCAGCTTCCGCTCTTCTAAGGTCGGTTTTCCCCTTCATTTCCTTTCTCTCTTCAACTTTTTTTTTTGTTTTTTTTTTCTTTTTTCGCTTTGGTGGTTACTTGCCCGCCGGCTGCGGCCGAGTTTTTTTTTTGTCCCGGCGAAATAGTGAATTTTGTTTGCCGCGAAAAAATCGGCTGTTCAGTTTGCCTAACCGAATTGAGTTTTTTACGCTTATTGACTGAATTACCTCCTGCTGTTATCTTGTTCTTCTCTTTCTTTTCTTTTTCTAGTGAGGGTATCCGGGTAAAGTTACATATAAGGATCGCTGTTTGGTCACGTTTTGTTAAATTGAGTGATTATTGGAGTTGGAAACGGTGATCATAGTCAAACTAGATATGGGAGTTAATTACGGATTATGCCACGGTTGTTTATAACTACTGTGGGTACTGTATCTGACTTTGAAACGTTAATGCAATGCTCTTCGCATTACTGTTACATAACGGTTTCGATCATTAAAAATGACATTGCCCGCTTTTATATTACTTTTTGTTATGGGAAAAAAAAATTTGGACTTACATTTGCCCAGGTTACAAAGCTTTTTAAGCGTAGTCAAAAGAAGTTGCTAAATATGTTGATAGAAATTTAATTTAGCATAATGAAAACATGGTTTTGGTGGGGCGTTTAAGCATTTTGTACAGCTTGAATTCGGATAAAAGTTCAGGGCATAACACCTGGGTGTTTATTTTTTTTTTTACAAAGAATGTGTTATATATGGATTTGAACCTCTGGTTATATACCATCTTTTGAGAGATGACTGCGTGCATGGACGGAGTTTAACACCTAGGTGTTTGTTTCATTTGACGTTTTATGTGCATGTAAGCCGGAACTAATAAATAATGGGGTTCGAATCCTCCATCTTAAAACTTGATCTTTCATAAAAAATGATTAGGACATGGAGTAGAGAAAGAAGCTTTTGGTTTTGGCAAATGCATGAGTTTTTTTTTTTTTTTTTTTTGGGCTATGACTTTCATGTACAAATGTTTTTAACTTTTAAATTTTTGTTTGGTAGAAGAAAAACTTTGAATCATCTTTCCATTTTTTGGCTAGTGAAAACAATGAGTGTGCCAGTTGTCTAGTGCATAAATCATGCATTGAATTTTGTTTCTGTTCATTTTATTTTCCATGAGCAGGATATGGGTCTAAACTTGGTAAATAATGAAATAGTGTATTGCTGGGAGTTTAAGTAACTTAATGCTACCAAAGTTGTTGAGATGGACTCTGTTATTTTCTGTCAATTTAGAGGTGACCAACTTGTGAAAGATCGAAGCATTAGTGTTTTTATGTGGTTGGTATATGTTGGTATTAAGGCTAATTTTGCACTAATGCTTCATAATTCTTTCCATGATCCTGCATCAAATTGTGCCTGCTTCCCTAACCCCTCCCCAAAAAAGGGAGAGATGTTGAACTTTTATTGTTCCCAAATCCATGTTTATGAATTGAAATTCCAGCATAAGTTTGAGCTCCTTCTAATCATATCATCTTTCTTGTCTCACTTTTTGAATTGTTTCAATCAAAGCTAAACATTCAATTCATTATAGGTTAAGTCTATTCCCATTCAGTTTGATTAAATTGATTTTATTCTTAAGAATGTTGTGTTTTCTTTTCGGATTTCTTATTTTGTCCAACTTGAATCATCCAAGGTATGGTAGTTCAAATGTTGTGGAATGTTCTTATGAAGTTAAGTACTAGTCATTCTCATGCATGTTGTAGATATTAGCTATATGGTAAAATTAATACTATCTTGCATCATATTCTTAATCTTTTACCCCTAAGTCCTCTCTTTATGGGTTCAGAAGATTTGTGCAATTTGCTTGGGAAGCTTGAAAAAGGGAGAAGGCCTGGCCATCTTCACAGCTGAGTGCTCTCATCCTTTCCACTTCAATTGTATTGCAACCAATGTGCAACATGGAAATCGAATTTGCCCCATTTGCCGCTCTGAATGGAAAGACATCCCCTTCCAAGCACCTATAAATGCTGCTGGTTCTCGGCGTAATAACAGCATGGGCCAACCCCGACTGTCTCCCTATAATGCTCCACTTGAAGATACTTTTGTATCTGGCTTCGGTCATAATCTGCATCAACCAACCCCGCCTGAGTTGGAAACTGACCACTTTTCTGATGATGAACCACTTCCAGTCATCCATGCTGGCCCTGTATCATCCACTCGTCTACAAGCCATAACCATTAAGGCATTACCAGAGTTTCCTGCTGTTTTAGCTTCAGATTCTGTTTCAAAATTCGCTATTCTTGTTGGCATTAGCGCTCCACCTTTTCATGTTGATGTTCAACAATTTGATCGTGCACCAATTGACCTTGTCGCTGTGCTTGACGTAAGTGGCAGCATGGCTGGCAAGCTTGCTCTTCTTAAGCGTGCTGTTTGCTTTATCATACAAAACTTGGGCCCGTCAGATCGGTTATCCATAGTTATTTTCTCATCATCAGCTCGTAGAATTTTACCATTGCGAAGGATGTGCAGTAGTGGTCATGATGATGCTATCCGATCCGTCAATGCCCTTTCCTCTAGTGGTGGGACAAACATTGTGGAAGGTCTTAAGAAAGCGGTTAAGGTTCTTGAAGAGCGACGTGAGCATAATCCCATTGCAAGCATTATCCTCTTATCTGATGGCCATGATACGTTAAATGGTGATACTCACAGCCTATACCGCAGTGTACAGAATCACACTTTAAATCCAAGGCATAATTTGCAGTATCTTTACCTTTTGCCAGCTTCACTTTGTCCCCGGAATAATGCATCTGGGGATGAGTCCCGACAGCTTACCATACCAGTCCACACATTTGGGTTTGGCTCAGAACATGATTCCAATGCAATGCATGCCATATCTGATATATCAGGTGGCACATATTCCTTTATTGATTCCATTGACATTTTACAGGATGCATTTGCTCGATGCATTGGTGGTCTTCTCAGTGTTGTGGCTCAAGATGTCCAACTGACAATACAGTCAATTTCTCCTGGAGTGCAAATAGGTTCAATTCACTCGGGGAGATATAAGAGTGAAATCTTTTATCAGGGGCAGAAAGCTATCATTGATGTTGGAAGTTTATATGCAGATGAAGAGAAGGAATTTCTGGTATATGTCTCAATTCCAGCGTCATCACATGCTGAAGGTGAGAAAAAGTTGGATAAGATGTCATTGTTGGATGTCATGTGCTCGAACAAAGATTCATCAACAATGGAGATTGTTCAGTCGAGACACGAGAGAGTTGACATAAGACGACCTAAGGTTTTGTCTCCTACGGACAGCATGGTTTGCTTGGAGGTTGATCGACAGAGGAACCGTCTCTCTGTGGCAGAAGCTATTGCAAATGCTCAACGGAGGGCTGAACTGGGAGATCTAGAGCATGCGCAGGCTTTGCTGTCAGAGCAAAGAAGAGCTTTGTTGTCTTCAGTATCAGCCCAAGCTGGGGATGGCCTGTGCAACTGGCTTGAGGCAGAGCTGAGAGAAACCGGACAGAGAATGGCAAATATGCAGTTATATGAACAGACTGGGCGGGCATATGTTCTCTCAGGGTTAAGCGCACACTCATGGCAGAGGGCCACAACTAGGGGCCACTCAACAATCATACTTGAAGAAGGTGCAACTACGAGCACTAACGCAACAATTTGTTATGAGACACCGTCTATGGTCAACATGGTGTCGAAATCACAGATTCTCACTAATGGATCTTTGCATCAACCTCAAAGGCTTTTTAACAAGTCATGCAGCCTGATTCAGCAACATAAATAAGGGTGGTGTCATAGTTTAACTGGGTATGGCAATTTTTTCACCAGCATGGTAAGGGGCATTGAGGTTGATAGCAGTAACTGATATGGAGATTCAACACTGTTTTGGGGGCAATCTTTATATTTTTTATTCCGTTGATTGAGTTCTAGCCGGTCTTACATTATTTCTTTCTGCGAGTGGATTATGTTAAGTTGGCTTTTTTATGGTAGAAATATTGCAGCAAAAGATTTTGATTGGTACTGCTTGGTTCAACTTTTTCTTCTTGTTTTTTCGAATAACTTCAGTTTTATTTGACATAAAAAGGAGTACCCAGAACGTGTGTGTTTGTTTGTTTTTTTTTTTTTTTTCTAAATATAGATACTAAAATTTAAAATTATTAATTTTCAATGAATTTGGTAATTTTTCATAAATCAATTTAATTAAAAGTTTGATTGTTTTTTTTTTTAAATCTCAATTGCCTTAAGGATCGATTCATGAAATGTATACCTTGGCAACAAAAAAAAACGCATTGTACCAAATTAACAAAAAATAAAAGGAAACAGTAAACGAAAGTGTCGTCCTACAAAGCCTAAAACCTTGGGAAAGAGAAAGACGAATATTTTCAGTTAGGGCCAAGTCCAACCCAATTATCTATTCTTCTTCTTCGCCACTCTCTTTGCTTTATCCTTTCCCGGAGTTACCCTTCCCCTACTACATCTCCATCGAACCTCGGCTTTGCTTTCCCACCCCATCTCTCTCCATTTCCATGGAGTTTGAGGTGAGACACGTAGCAGGAGTACAAGACTGCTTTGTATCTCTTCCTCTACTACTTATCCAAACCCTTCAATCAACGCGCTCTTCTCTCCTCCCTCCCCTTCTCTCTCTCGAGCTTCGCCTCCCAAGCGAATCCGCCCACCCCTGGATCGTTGCTTGGTCCGGCGCTACGTCTTCTTCCACCGCTATTGAGGTAAACTAACAGCTCAACAATTCCTTTAGAGTTTAGACTTCGATTTGACTTGGATTTCTTTCTTTTTTTTTAATTTTTATTTTCCCCTACTTTTCGCTTTTTTTCTTTGGCTATGAAGGTTTCTCAACAATTCGCCGAATGTATATCGTTGCCAAATCGTGCCAACGTTCAAGTACGAGCTACTTCTAATTTGGCTAAGGCTACATTAGTCACAATTGAACCTCATACCGAGGATGATTGGGAAGTTTTAGAGCTTAACTCTGAGCAAGCTGAAGCTGCTATATTAAACCAGGTAATCAACTAATATTGTAATGAAGCAAATGAATGATCGATGAATTTCCTTCGCAATCGAACTGAAAGCAATTTAAATCAACTTCTAATGGATATTAAATACGTTATATTATAAATTTCAACAAATATAGGTCAGGATTCTCCATGAAGGAATGCGATTTCCTCTGTGGTTGCATGGCCGTACGATCATAACCTTCCTTGTGGTTTCAACCTTTCCCAAGAAAGCAGTGGGTAAGATGATATTGATACGATTATCCTAACTGAACATAGATATTCTACCTAGTTTTCTAGATGTTTGTAAAACCATTGCTTCATAATAGAACCAATTTTATATTAACTTAATTGTGAACGTAGTGCATAATTTTTACATGTAGAAATTATGAAGGCATTATGTTTGTTGAATCATGTCAAGGGACAATTTTCAGAGATTCACATATGCATATTAAGAATTATTTGTCATGTAGCTGTTAAATCATGTCAAGTGCTAATTTTAATCTTGGCTTGACAGAATTTTTTCTGACTTGTAATATATTTTATCAGTTCAACTTGTTCCTGGAACCGAAGTTGCCGTCGCTCCAAAGAGACGTAAGAAAAATTTAAACAACATGGAATCATCTACTGGAGAATCTCAGGGTGCAAAAGCACTACTACGCATACAAGATTCAGACAGAAGATTGTTTCATAAATGTAATGTCAAAGGTGTTGAGCTAGGGGTAGCACTTACTTCTGTTGCCTTTATTCATCAAGAAACAGCTAAAAGATTTTCATTGGAGTCTCTTCAGTTGGTTATTATGGTGCCAAGATTATCATCCAAAGAGAGCGTGAATAATCTGGAAAATGATGCCTCGAGAATGAAAGGAAGTCTAACTTCGAAGGAAGTAAATGGTGGAATTTCAACTGATAACAAGGAATTTCGTCAAGTGATTGTTCGCCTTTTAATTTCAGATTCTGTTGCTAAAGGACATATAATGATTACTCGCTCTCTTCGACTTTATTTGAGAGCAGGACTACATTCATGTATGTTAATTCTTTCAAGAAATCAGTTACTCATCTTACTCTATTTACCTTGCTTGGAAAGGTTTTCTGGATTTCTTTTGATATCATTGAACGAGCGGTTTAAGATGCTTTTCTGAATTGAAGTATTCGGTTTAAACATGTTTATGTATCAATCCTGAGAAACTTTGAATAGTCTGATGAGATGTTTCTTTGAATGCATCAAATGTCTTCCTGGCTATTATATTGCTTTGAACACAAACTTCATTCTTTGCTCCATTCCATTAGAGTGCCTCATTGGAAATTGCTTGGTCTTTAGGGGATTCAAATGATGCAAGGATAATTAATTTCTTCTAGTTTTCTCTTCTGAAATTACCTTTTCTTTGTATTCAAGTGGTAGATGTTTATTTACAAATAGCAATTTCCATTGTAATGAGGGGTATATGGGGATGAGAAAATTTGAGACAAACATTGTGACATGGGAAAGCCTTTTTAGATGCCAACTAACTCTGCAAGGTTTCCAGTATTAAGGGACAGTATTAAGGGAAAGAAATTTTGTAGAATTGTTGATTTATATGATATATGTTTCCTTTTATTTAACGAATATAACATTTAGATTTCTGTTTCTAGATGCATCTTATAGGGTAAATTTGTCGTTGCTAAGTTCTTTGACCTGTGCTATTTTATCCAACTTAAGTGAATTCACCTTCTGTTCAATGTGTTTCTTTTCATTGCTTTACTTTTGTTCAATGTTTGCTCTTGCTAATTTTACAAGGAGAGGAGAAAAACTTATCTTCCTAGTTATTATGTTGCTGTTTTATTGAAATTTCATGCACATTGTCATTTTTCATTTATGGTTAAGGTTTTTGAAAGAAGGCTCCCATGCATGCAGGGGTTTATTTAAAGGGGTATAATGTTGCTTTGAAGAAGGAAATTCCTGTACTTTCACTTTCTCCATGCCATTTTAAGATGGTTGCAAATAATAAGGCTCTTGGTAATGGGCTTGAAGTGCTTGATGGCCATAAAACTCTTAGGACAAAAAATTCACTTCCTATATCTGGTTCAGGAACCTCTTTGGAGGTAGTAAATTGGTCAATCCATGATAATGTTGTTGCTGCTCTTTCTTGTGAATTTACTGGCCAAGATGGTGAAGACTCCAGTCATCAAGACACTAAGAAGGGCTTAGAGTGTCTTCTTCAGACATGGTTTCTTGCTCAACTTGATGCTATAGCTTCAATTGCAGGGATGGAAGTTAATACATTGGTTTTGGGAAATGAAAATCTACTTCACTTTGAGGTGAATAGATATGATTCTGGGGCTTATGGACTTGTCTCATCTAATGGTTTTTCAGAGAAGAGAAATAAGACAAAAGATTTGTCAATGGAAATTTCATACATATTAACCATCTCAGAGGAAACACTGCACGGTGGAAAGGTTAATGCATATGAACTTGCCCTTGATGATAAAAACAAGACGAATAATGTTCAGGGAGGTGTAGAGTTGTTTGGAAAGCTAAATTTGGGTAACCCTGTGTCCTTGTATTCTGTTAAAGACAGAAAATCTGTCAAGGGGTTTAGTACAAATGTATCTTCATTAAGCTGGATGGGTGCGACTGCTTCTGATGTTATCAATAGTAGGTATTTTTCTATTTTTAAAATTTTTACAGTTAAACAGAATTAGTTGCCTGCCACTTTATAGGAACAACTGACCATGCTTATGTTCTATCTCTTATGGTTTACAGCACCCTGTTATGTAAGGTGTTTTTAGGGTCTTCTTGAAATTGTTATGGTGACTAAAAGCTTCAGTGTGCTGAGTTCAGTTTTATGCCAAAATCTGATATAATATTCAACCTGGGTTATTTTGAAGGGATGGCAGATAGAGAAACATTTTATTGTCTTACATTTTTCTCCTTGTGGACAAGTAGGGTAGCACATGTTACTTGTCCAAGGCTGAGCATGATAATAACTTTTCTAGTAACAATTTGCTTTTCTATTTTGACCTTGAGTTAACTAACTAAGATCTTATAACATGTTCCCCTGACAAAATACTACATGCAGGAATGATGGTGTTGCTATCTCCTGCTTCTGGAATTTGGTTTAGTACGTACAATCTTCCTCTCCCAGGACATGTTCTAATATATGGACCTGCGGTGAGTTACTACAATGTATTGCTTCTTTTGGGTATTAAAGGGAAATCCCTGCTTTTCTCTAAATTTTACTTTGGGGAGAACGCAAAATGTCATACAACACCCTTTTTGCAAATTACTATTTTACCACAAGCTGCATTTTCTAATCTTTTGAAAACAAAACTTAAATTCTCAACTGTATCTTGTAGAAATCTTTATTATGTTGCAATTAGATATCACTTTATGTTGACCTTCTTCTTTGACAATCTTAGATTCTCAACTTTGTTCTCTCTTTATGTTTTGTGATAAAGATGTTGGTGCATAATATTCTTTTACCTTTCTTTTAGGGATGACTCTTTGAGAGTATTTTTTTAGAATCTACTTCTGTTGTTGTTCTTAAGAGTGCGTTATTGTATTTATTTGACATATAGGTTCTGATAATTTTGACTTAAATAAAAATTGGTGTATTGTTTTGTGTTAGGGTTCTGGAAAGACATTATTGGCAAGAGCTGTTGCAAAGTCCCTTGAAGAACAAGAAGACCTGTTAGCTCATGTGTAAGAAATTATTTGAAAATGCATATGCATCCTTCTCAATGTTGACATTTGGAAATGCCATAAGTATGGCTGATTCTGTCTCGGAAAAATCTTCATTGCTTTATGGTTTTCTAATTCTGATTGGTGGTTTCTACGGGTGAAAAACTCATATTGGTATTTGTCTGTGCATGCAGAATCTTTATATGTTGCTCACAACTTGCTTTAGAGAAGCATGTGACCATTCGTCAAGCTCTTTCAAGTTTCATATCTGAAGCTCTTGATCATGCACCTTCAGTTGTCATTTTTGATGATCTTGATAGCATCATCCAATCTTCATCTTACTCAGAAGGATCCCAGCTTTCAACCTCAGTTGTTGCACTTACTAACTTTCTCACTGACATTATGGATGAATATGGGGTATATATCTTTGTGATGCCCATATGTCCCTCATTTCCCTATTTGGTAGTACTGAAGCCTTAACAGATGTTGATTCCATTCTGTCAAACCAGTGCTCTTGATCCAAACACTTTTTCTGATGCATTTTATTTTAATAATTCATGGTCAGCTAATAGATTTTCGTGTAACATTGAGCAGGAAAAGAGGAAGAGCTCCTGTGGTATTGGTCCAATAGCTTTTATAGCTTCTGTGCAATCTCTGGAGAGTATCCCCCAATCTTTGAGCTCATCAGGTTTGTCTTCATCTTTACTTTATTGGTTTAAGGATTCTAACCTCTTGTTGTATTGGAATTATAACGAACCTCGACTCTATAATTTCTTTATCTTCTCATTTTCTAATAGTTTTGCATTCTTGAATTTGGTTATTATCAGGAAGGTTTGACTTTCATGTGCAACTGCCTGTACCTGCTCCCTCTGAACGTGGGGCCATATTGAAGCATGAAATTCAGAGGCGTTCCCTACAATGTCATGATGATATCTTAATGGATGTAGCTTCCAAATGTGATGGATATGATGCATATGATCTGGTATTTTTGTTTCTTGTTTGTGTTTATATGTATTTCTGCCTAGTATTTTTTTAAGAGGCATTAATGTTTTTTTCTCCTCTGGATAAGTTTGTCACTTACTTCCTATCTGTATGTTACTGACATCTTTATCCCTCTTGTTACTAATTTTCTCGATGTTTTGATTCTGCATGTAGTTTAAATTGGATATGATAAGTTGCATTCTGTGATATATTATGGGAAAGAGATTGCATACACTTTTATGTTGCTTATCCTAAAATTATGCAAAAAAATTGATACCAAGGAATTTCATTGTTTCAGGAAATATTGGTTGATAGAGCTGTTCATGCTGCCATTGGTCGATTTTTACCTTCTGATTCTGGCTCTGAGGAACACATGAAGCCTGTACTAGTTAGGGATGATTTCTCTCAAGCTATGCATGATTTCCTTCCAGTTGCCATGCGTGACATTACTAAATCTGCTCCTGAAGTTGGTCGCTCTGGTTGGGATGACGTTGGTGGTCTTAATGACATTCAGGATGCTATCAAAGAGGTACAAGTTTCCTTCTGGCCTTCTAAGTTGCCTATGATTATTCTAAATTTATATTTGGATTATGCAGGTTGTATTGTTTTCCTGATTTGCTTCTAGTGTCAGCCAAAATGTAAACCTCATTCTTCTCTGTTGCACCCAGCATGCTTATCTTCTTTGTGTATGTGAGAAGAGAATATGATAAACCTGGACCCTTTTTTTGTTAACATTTTGATTCTACTTTCTGTTGATAGTACTTTCTTTTGATAGATTTAGTCAGGTTTGTAAAAAAGACTTAATATGATGTTCCCCATAGGATCTTGATATCTAACTTAATATGTTGTTCCCCCGTAGGATCTTGATATTGGGTGCTTTGTATGGTATTGTTCTTTAGCATTTATCACTTTCTTACGCTGTAGTTGGTATCAGTAAAATACTGGCTTAAGACTACCATCAAAATAAGAGTCTTTATTTATCATTTCAATTATCTATTGATGTTATGTCCAATTTTCATCTTCCAATACGTACATTTTCTCAATCATTCATTGTTTTATTCCAATCTGAAAGCATCTTATGCTCTATCTGTTGCTAATACTTATACTCCAATGTCAGATGATTGAACTGCCTTCAAAGTTCCCAAATATATTTGCACAAGCTCCTTTAAGGTTGCGATCTAATGTTCTCTTGTATGGTCCTCCTGGCTGTGGCAAGACTCACATTGTTGGTGCTGCTGCTGCTGCTTGTTCACTAAGATTTATATCGGTGAAAGGGCCTGAGCTACTGAACAAATACATTGGTGCTTCTGAGCAAGCTGTAAGAGAGTATAATTAAGCCTTTTTTCTTTTACTATCTTTTATAGATGCCTTGATAGTTGATTTTTGTTTCTTGATATGCCAGTAATATTATTATAAGCAAAAGCTGATTTTTAGAGAATAGCAGATTTAAACAATAATTTTCGAAATGAGCTATGTAAATGCATAAAGTGTATGTATAACCTTGCCTAAAATGAATTGTAGCAGCAAGTTCATGTTACATGCTATACAAGTATTGAATTGAAGGGTGTGGGAAGCCATAATATATTATTGTCTGTGTAAACCTGCAAACTTGTAGTACTTGTTAACTTATTCTGGAGTCCAAAGGCCCAGGATACTGAGTTGTAGAAACATTATGCTTACCAATTAAGAAGTTCAGCTCATCATTATACTCTGGACATATGTTAATGCATTTCTACTGAAGAAATGTAACTTATGGTGCATGTCCTATGCCTATTGTTTCAGGTTCGAGATATTTTTTCAAAGGCAGCTGCTGCAGCACCATGCCTCCTCTTTTTTGATGAATTTGATTCCATTGCCCCTAAAAGAGGGCATGACAACACTGGAGTAACTGATCGAGTTGTTAATCAAGTCAGTATCTTTTTGCTTGCTGCATTTTATAAATTTGCAGTTACTTTGTCTTCTTTCTCATTTTATATTCCTTTCAAACAGTTCCTAACTGAATTAGATGGTGTCGAAGTCTTGACTGGTGTATTTGTGTTTGCTGCAACAAGGTTAGTTTTCAAATCTATTATTAATCTCCAGTTAACATCTCTGTTCACAATGTCATTAACTATGGTTCACTAATTAGGCATTGTCCCAATGCACATAGATCTGGGAGTTGATGACTTAACAACTAGATCTTGATGGGATTGATTTTGACATGAGATGCATAACCCGTAAAATATAGCTGTGCCAATAGCACAAATTTTGAAAACATTTTCAAATTTCTTGTCCAAAATGATCACTTGATTTCAAGATTTTGCATGCGAATTTCTTATTTCATTGTTTTTCTTATTAGTTGCATGCCTTTCATGAAAGTTGACTTGAATTCTTATGTTAAGCAGTAGACCAGATCTACTTGATGCTGCATTGTTGAGACCAGGTAGGCTTGATCGCCTCCTTTTCTGTGATTTTCCATCTCAGCGTGAGAGGTTGGATATTCTGACTGTTCTTTCTAGAAAGGTTAGTGATAGATACTTGGTAGACAATGTATAATTTTTTATTGCCCTGATTTCTTTCTTCTTTTATTTTGTCATAGAAACCAAAATATAAATTAGTCTGTCGGCGATGCATTGCTTCCCAGAAGTTCATAACTCTGTTAACATTTGTAACAGAGTGAAGAATGAAAACGATCTTGCTACTTATGGAACTGGAAATTTAACTTGATTTAATGTTTTAGTTTGATTCCTTTGTGACGCATCTTTGTTTTTGTACAAATAATGCAGCTACCATTGGCCAGGGATGTTGATTTAGGCGCCATAGCTTATATGACAGAAGGATTTAGTGGAGCTGATCTCCAAGCTCTTCTTTCAGATGCGCAGCTCGCTGCAGTTCATGAACATTTGAACAGTGCGAATAGCAATGAGCCTGGAAAAATGCCAGTCATAACTGATGGTGTTCTGAAGTCTATTGCTTCGAAAGCAAGACCGTCAGTTTCAGAATCTGAGAAGAAGAGACTTTATGGCATCTACAGTCAGTTTCTGGATTCGAAGAGATCCGTCGGTGCACAGGTTTTTCTCTCTTGCAAACTAATTTTCCTCTCTAGATTGCAGCTTGTCACGTTAGTCACTCACCCAACTTATAAAACTACTTGCAGTCGAGGGATTCTAAAGGCAAGAGGGCAACGCTGGCATGACCAATAGAAAGAGTCATCGCTGCCCATTTTTCGTGGAATTGAAAGATCTACGTTGGATTCCTCTTTTTTCTTTTCAATTTTATACCTAAATCATTCTTTCAAACCTGAATCCATGAAGGTTGAGGATAGTTTTGGTGTCGCAATTGTTGTATGTTAAAAAAATTCTACGTTGTTCTTGCCATGGATGGTGACGCTTGATTAATTCCCTTGTTTCAAAACAAGGGCCAATAGAATAATGGGCTTAAACAGGTATCTTGCAGGTATCTGGGTAAGGCCGGGCCCAGAATATATTGAATATTAGTTATTTATGTATTTTAATCAAAATGTGAATCACTTTTTTATTTTTATTTTAGGGCAGTAAGACTGGTTTCATAAAATTAAAAAAAAAAAAAAGTTGTTGTAATTGTGATTAAAAAAAAAAGTGATTGTAATTGAAAAAAAAAATTTAATTAAAAATTTATATTGCATAAATTTTATTGAAATTAATATTTAGATTCAATTTGTAGTGTGATAAATTCAATCATATAACATTGAAGATGGGGTGGAATTTAAATTTAATTTTAATTTTTACATTATATATTACACTTATAAAAAGAAATCATGATTAAATTTCTTAATTCTATTTTTGTTAAGATTTGTCTTTTGCATTAATTTTGGTAATGATAAGTTGATTTGATAAAAAATAACAAATCATATTATAGCATGTGATTTATTTTAATTAGTTAATATTTATCATATCGATATTTTAATTAGTGATGATAATTAATTGTATAAAATGTTTAATTTGAAACAAAGTGATAAATTTTTTTATAAGTATTAAATCATTAAAAATAAAATAATTCAATGGGTGAAATTACATATTAACCCTAGTTTTAATTCTCTTTTTAAACATAAAAATCTATATATTAAAATAATTTTTTAATATTAAAAAAATTTGACTTAAGAAAGAAGCTTGGATTCTAAGCTCTAATCAGGGTCGATAATCTAACCGCTTTTGACAGTTTTGATCCTGTTCAATCTCACAAGATTAATTTTTTTTTTTAAATCAAATTTTGAATTGGGTAAGATATTATTAAAAAAAATTAAAATTGGATCAAACTTAAATTTTAGGTAAATTTGATTTGATTTGATATTATATAAATTTATTTTTTAATTATTTATATATATATATTTATATAATTATATTTTAAATATTTATAATTAAAAATAATATTTTATTAATTTTAAATCAAATCAAATATTATTTATATATTATTAAATTAGGTCGAATTTGAACATAAAAAAAAAAAAATTTTTTTGAATTGAATTCGAGTTAAATATAAAATCAAATTAGATTCATAGCTAGCAAAAACTTACTTGGACCCGATCTATTGCTAACCTAATTCTAACAAAATTGCCTTCGGTTATCATTTACGGGTAGGTGGTCTGAAGACATTTTCCTTTTCTAAACTTTTCCAACGCAATTTCAATGGCGATCCCTTCCGATATCGCCTAACTCTACCTCCCTTCCTTCACATGGCCAAGCCCAAGTTTCGCACCGCCGTCGAGCCCTTGGCTCACTTCGACCTCCCAACTCACCACCTTTCCATCTGCTCTGTCTCTCTTTCCCAATCCACTGTCTACCTTGGCACCCAAAACGGCTCCCTCCTTTTACTCTCCCTAAACCCTAACCCTAATCATAACCCAATCGCAAGCCCACCTTCAATTGAATCCGTTTCTTTCTCTTCCCTTTCCCGAAACGTTTCCCTCCTACGCACTGTTTCCCTTTCTGACTCTCCCGTGGAATCAATATCCGTTCTCGCCGAGATCGGTGTCGTTTTAGTATTATCTGATGGGTTCTTGCTTTTAACGGATTCGCTCTTGATTCAACCAGTCAAAAAATTAAATGGTTTAAAAGGAGTCACAGTAATTGCTCGGAGATTCCGAGGAACCCATTCTACAAGCGCCGACTTAGTCGATAGTTCATCGAATTCGTCAAAAGGGCAACGAATTTTGGATAAATTTGGAGGAGTTAGGGCAAATGGAGTGAAAACAAGGGAGTTAGAGCAGAACCGAGGACGTAATTACGTTTTTGCCCTTGTTATTGGTAAGAAACTGATGTTAGTAGAGCTTATTTTAGACGGTACTTTTTTAAATGATTCGTTTGTGATCCTAAGAGAAATGCAATGTTTTGATGGAGTGAAGTCTATGGTCTGGCTTGATGATTCAATAATTGTCGGTAATATTAATGGGTATAGTTTATTTTCGTGTGTTACCGGGCAAAGTGGCGTGATTTTTTCATTACCCGATTTATCTAGGCCACCGTTGTTGAAGCTTTTGTGGAGAGAGTGGAAGGTTTTGTTGTTAGTGGACAATGTAGGGGTGATTGTTGATGCACATGGGCAGCCAGTTGGTGGGAGTTTGGTGTTTCGTAGGGGTGGTCCAGATTCAGTTGGGGAGTTGTCCTCCTTTGCAGTGGTTGTGAGGGATGGGAAGATGGAGCTGTATCATAAGAAATCAGGTAATTGCATTCAAACAGTTACTTTTGGTGTTGAAGGAACCGGCCAGTGTATTGTTGCGGATGAGGAAAATAGGAGTGGGGAAGTTGTTGCTGTTGCTACTCCCACAAAGGTATGTGAATCATAGTAGTTCACATTGCTTGAAATGTGAATATGATCTAAAATCCTACATATGCAATTTCTATTAGATGTGATGTTTCAGTGTTGAGATTGAAATCATATGGGTACATATTTACGTATACTCCCTGAAATTTTTATATATTGATGGAAAAAGACTTTTAGCAGCTTGGTGGCTGATGGTTTGCATTTCATGGTTAAAGAAATATTGTGGATATATTAATATTGGTTACTAGAAGCTAGGTGCATCAACTTTACTGTGCTGCATAAGCTATCACTTCTTAGAGAATTGACTTCTTTGGTCTGAGCCCACTGAATGATTTGTATGTTAGTGCCCTATGCTGCTATCCAGGCTAGGTTCATGACCTCAGTTGCAACCCCTATGCATTGCTTTGTCTGTTATTATAATATATATTGTGATACATCATCCTGCTTCATGCTAAATATTTCCAGGTCATTTGCTATCGAAAAGTGCCTTCAGAAGAACAAATAAAAGATTTGTTGAGAAAAAAGAATTTCAAGGAAGCCATCTCCTTGGTGGAGGAACTTGCATGTGAAGGTGAAATGTCTAAGGAAATGCTTTCCTTGTTTCCTGCCCAAGTGGGTTTCCTTTTGCTCTTTGACTTGCACTTTGAGGAAGCAGTGGATCAATTTTTGCAATCAGAAACAATGCAGCCTTCTGAAGTATTTCCATTTATAATGCGAGACCCAAATCGCTGGTCACTCCTGGTATGTCTTTTATAACTGCATTCTTTTGATGGTTTGTTTTGCACATTCTGTAGTAGTCCATGTGATTCTGGGGGATAATGTGTTAATCGTGTTATGTTAATCTAACTATGAGCTATGTAATGTCCAACTTAAACTAATAATAATAAAATTTCATCTATGAGAATACTTGTAAAACTGATCAATGAACGAGGAAGAAAAAGAAGAGTTGCATTGTTTGGATATGACTAGAATTGTCGAATGACCATTCTTTCTGATCTCTGCTTGCAGAGAACATGTAGAACTCTTTTGTGCAAGTTTTTGAAGGTTTGCTGTCATAGCAGTTTAATTGACCTTTTTCAGGTTCCTCGAAACCGGTATTGGGGTTTACATCCTCCTCCTGTACCCCTCGAAGATGTTGTGGATGATGGGTTGTTGGCTATTCAAAGGGCAATTTTCCTCAGAAAAGCAGGTGTAGAAACTGTGGTTGATGAACATTTTTTATCTAATCCACCGACCAGGTCTGAATTGCTGGAGTCTGCAATTAAGAACATTATCAGGTGCCTTCCAGTGTAGTCTGTTTTTGTGCTTTACATATATAATTACTGCAATTTTTTTCAGTTTCCCCTATATTCTCTCTCCCTTTGCCAAGATGAAGTCATAAGGGGTAGTGAAATGATTTGAGTTCCAGTTTTAATTGACACTTATTAATTTGTTGTTCTTATTTTAGTATTCTTTTGCAGTGATGGCTTGTGGCTTGAAATATCCTTAACAATGTTCTAAGTTGTTGTTCCCTGCTACAGGTATCTAGAGGTTTCTCATCAGAAAGATTTGACTTTGTCAGTGAAGGAGGGGGTTGATACACTTTTAATGTACCTATATAGAGCCCTAAATTATGTTGATGATATGGAGAAGCTGGCATCTTCTGAAAATTGTTGTATTGTGGTATGTGCTTTTTTCTTTGCTTATTTTATTTGATAATCGTACATCAGTTTTGGAATGATATCCTTGCTACATTAAATCAGTGGTCTGCTGGAGTGGGTTATTTAAACCCACTGGTAATGCATGCATACATAAAATGTTGAATCAATGATTTGCCTAGAATGGATGGTTTCAAGGTAATAAAAGAAGATATGCTTGGAAGTAAGAAATTCTTAATAATTATTGTATTTTAATTACTCAGCTCTTGGTATTACCCATTTTTGCTTATTCTTAAGTTAATAAAGAAAATATACAAAATATAAGATTTTGCCAGTCTTTTTGAATATATAAGTAAAAAGAATATTATGTATGTTTTAGTTGTTAGATTAGAACTTTATTGTTCCAAGAAAAAATTTCCTTGTCAAAACAAAAGAATGACAGATTTCTGGTCAAATAAATAGAAAGTCTACTCTCAAGTTGAACATCTTCTAGTGATTTGTTCATCAATTTAACTGCTTTTTTTTTTTTTAATGATACTAGGCTTTGCTTGTTAGGAAGGATAGAAAAGGGTGAAGATGGAATGGTGTGTAATCCAATGGTTAAGTAAGGAAGCTGGTTATGAAGAAATCTAACCATTAGATTAAAAAAATTTTCATCCTCACCTCTTTCCATCATTCCTACCAACCAAAGCCTAAAAGAAAAATATTCCTTGTAAAATGAGTTTAGTATGTATTCACAAATTGGAATGGGAAAGTAACTAGTTCTTTCAGGTTCGAATACTTTCTTTTCTTGGTTAGTTGTAATCAAGTTGAAATTATGGCCTTAGGCCCTGTGTGCAAAAAAACATTGATAAAATGTGGAATCTTAGAATTCCAATGCATTGGAAAACAGAGAGACCGTTGTCAGGAGGTTGCTTGAAGGTGACTGTACCACTTGCATGGGCGGTGCAGGAAGAGTTAGAAACTTTATTGGATGGCTCTGGGCATTTGCGGACACTTGCCTTCCTATATGCTAGTAAAGGGATGAGCTCAAAGGCTCTTGCTATTTGGCACATCTTGGCAAGAAATTATTCCTCTGGTCTCTGGAAAGACCCTGCTGTGGAAAATGGTGTACATGATGGCAGTGCGTGTGTAACATCTGGCAGGGAGACTGCTGTGACTGAGGCATCAAAGATTCTGGAGGATTCATCTGATCAGGGGTTGATTTTGCAGCATCTTTCATGGGTATGTAGTTGTATTTCTTGTGAATGATTTTATTTTCATGTTATTTTAAATTGAAGGTTTTGTGATCCTTGAACTTAATGGTTAATTATGGACCTTGGAAATTGCTTATCAGATTGCAGACATAAACCCAGTACTTGCAGTTCAAGTTTTGACATCAGAAAAAAGAACAAATCAGCTTTCACCTGGTGGGTCTCATTTTAAGTTAATAATTTGTCTAGGACTATGGCTGTGGTACACAGTCAATTGCATTTTGGAATCGACATGCACAATATCCATGTTGTTATGCAACGATGCTTAGTGTTTTAGCTGTAAATTTTGTCTCCAGATGATGCACAATTTATTAATTAGTATCTTGCAGCAGATGATGTGATTGCAGCAATTGATCCAAAAAAGGTTGAGATTCTCCAAAGGTATGTGCATATCTTATTTTATGGATTGTACTTTTGAAGCGTTATAATTAATGGTTGTACTTTTGGTTTCTGGGATCTCCTCTCACTATTATAGTCACATTGTACTCAGGGTTATTCTTTGGAAACTCTTACTTTTGGTTTATCATCATTTTACCTTTCTATCCCACTTTCATACTGAAAACATTGTTCATTTGTATGGTCATAGTATTCTCCTTGCTCACATGAGCTCTTTAATTTTTTAATATACAAGTTTTCTCTCTTATTAATATTAGATGTGATCTTCACTGCATAGATTTTGCATAAAGATATCTTATCCATGCAGGTATCTCCAGTGGTTAATTGAGGATCAAGATTCTGATGACGCTCGGTTCCATACATTCTATGCTCTTTCTCTTGCCAAGTCAGCTATTGAAACCTTTGATTCAGAAAGCACCCAGAGCCCTGATGCTGGAAGGCAAGAGCAAGTGAAAAGCACTGATATCCGGAATGATTCGATATTTCGAAGTCCTGTGCGGGAGCGACTGCAGATATTTTTACAGTCTTCAGATTTGTATGATCCAGAAGAGGTCCTTTATTTGATGGAAAGATCAGAGTTATGGTTTGAAAAGGTCTGTTAGAACTTTGTACATTGTCTTGAGCTGTTCAGTTGACTACGTTGGCTGAGTTTTTAACACTATACACTACTGGAACTCCTAGATCGACTGTTTATTTATTTATAAATTGCTTTTTTCTTTGTTTTTGAATGTTTATATGAGTAGTTGTTGCATTTAGCATTTGCTAATTTAATATTATGATTTGATTCGTTAGGTTATTTTATACAGAAAATTGGGACAAGAGTCATTGGTGCTCCAAATCTTGGCGCTGTAAGTTCCAGAATATTAATTAGGATGTTAGGTGCATTAGTGCATTAGGCAGTTTGTAAATATAATCTTTAGTCATGAAGGTTACAGATTTAAAAAAAAAAAAAGAATTATTGTATTCTTATTTTTAACATTCAATGGCCTATCAGGAAACTGGAGGATAGCGAAGCGGCAGAACAGTATTGTGCTGAGATTGGCCAACCAGATGCTTACATGCAGTTAGTTTTTTATTTTCTTTCTTTTTCGCTTGTAATTTCTTTCCTCTCCTTCTCTACTTATGCATCTGACCTTTTTTTGTTTTATTTAACCTGTTTGTGACAATGATCATATCAGGTTACTTGATATGTATTTGGATCCACGAGATGGTAAAGAGCCTATGTTTAAGGCTGCTGTTCGCCTTCTCCATAATCATGGAGAGTCACTGGACCCTTTGCAAGTGTTAGAGGTCGAGCCCTCTCTCTTTCTCACGCATGCATGATTCTATGCTGGCATGTGATCTAACATGCTCTTGTATTATCATGTGGCCAGACCTAACGAGTTACTTGTGCTGGAATTATTGAGTTCATTGTTACTTTTTCCATATGGCTTTTTTATTTGGGTAATCTGAGTGTTGATTTTGCAGACACTGTCCCCTGACATGCCTCTTCAGCTTGCATCGGATACAATATTGAGAATGTTGAGGGCTCGGCTTCATCATCACCGTCAAGGACAAGTAAGATACCTTTTGGACTTGTCTAACTCCTTATAATTTGAGCTGCGTCTTGATCTTTCTTTTTCCCAGATTGTGCAGTATCTATCCCGTGCTGTACACATAGATGCAAAGCTTGCAAGATTGGAAGAGAGATCGCGGCTTGCGCAGATTAATGATGAGAGCCTTTGTGATTCTTGTCATGCCCGCCTTGGAACCAAGCTTTTTGCCATGTATCCAGATGATACGGTTGTTTGTTACAAGGTTGGTGATGACTAACCGTTACATATTTTCTTCATCTTTCCAAAACTTTGGATCAGAAATGGGGTTGCGATGTTGCTACTTTAAGTTGCCCAACGGATGAGTGACTTTTTATTTCTTTAACTCGTTACAGTTACCATTTTGAAACCCCAACGGTTTTTAGTTTTAAATCCCTACCAGGAAACATCTGCTAAATCAATTGCAAACCTAGGTAAACTTGGGTTAGGTGCTAAAAGATGTTACATAATGATATAGCCTGTTTTAGTTGTTCAATTAATATCAGTTTGCATTGACGTTTAGAAGCTACATCTGCATTGAAGTTGTTTGTTTAAAAACTTCATCTGCTTTATCTGCAGTGTTTCCGTCGTCAAGGTGAGACAACTTCCATCACCGGCCGTGATTTTAAGCAAGATGTCGTGTTCAAACCTGGTTGGCTGGTTAGCCGCTAAGCCACAGGAAGATATTGTTTGGTCGAAAGTTGGCGACAAAGTCTTGTATTGATGATGCTACGGGACTGTATTATCTTTGCTTCGGTCATGGATAAACTTCATGGCTAGCATTAGAACAGGAAATTTTGTCTATACTGAAGTAACGATGGAACAGTGACACTCTTTTCATATTAAAAAAAAAATTATTGGAGTATTTGATTTAATGATTGAAGAATGTTTTCATTTGAAAAGCTAAATGCCAAGCTTCGGATTATCAATATAATTTTTTTATAAATTAAGTGAATTAAGTTACTTATTGGATTGCAAATTTAGCGGAAACATGGCACATGTGGTTATCATTTGTCACAAAATTATATGGACGAAAAAATGAACATTAGCATTACTAATTGGAGGACTGACTACCAGAGGATTAATTATTTCAGGGGCATTCTTTATTACCCAAAAGAAAAGGGGCTAATTGGGTAAATTAGTAAAACCATTTTAAAATATAAAACTCAATTTTGTTTGCATATTTCTGCTTCATTTTTCCAGACGCAGAGAAAAAGAAAAAAAGAAAAAAGAGAAGCAAGCAGTGAGAGAGCAGCGAAGAGCCTGCTTCCTTCTCCAGGTCATTCTCTTTTTCATTTTCTTTTTATTTCTCAAATTTATTAGATTTTATTCTTTGCTTTTTTTTTTTTTTTTGGTCTTATTATCTTAGAGAAATTAGAGAAAGACGAAATGAAAAAAATAGGTGGATTTTTTTTTTAGTTTTTTCGAGAGATAAAGGTTTCGGATCCAAAATTCGAAGAATTTTAAGCTTCAAGCATCCGATATCCGAATTTGAGGATACTAAAATCGCAATCCTCGAATTTGGTTCTCGTTCGAGTGGGTTCTTCGTGACCTAAGTTTTTGGAATACGGCTTTTTCCTTCTCTTTCGTTTTTGTTTTTTAAAGTTTTACTGTAAATGATAAATGATAAATATCATGTTTTAAGCTCACAATTTTAAAATTATAGTTCAGTTACAGGTTTTCCCTTTATTTTGGTTTTAAAAACCTCATTTTTATGTGTTTTGGGCGATTTTCTCTCTCTTTTTTTAAAGTATCCATGATATTTTTGTCTCTTTTGTGAATCTTATTTGTTTCATGGAAATTTAACTTGCTACTTTTTATATTTCTTAATGCTGATAATAGCATTCCTTTTCTTTATTATTATTATTATTATTATTATTATTATTATTATTATTATTATCGAAATTTGTAGTAGCGTTTGTAAGTTTAGTAAATTTTTTTTTATTGTTTATGGATAATTATTTGATACTATGATTTATTCTTATAAAAGATTGATTAGTCTTTCCAAATTATGTGCTTATGCTATTCTGAACTAATGGGTATACAGATAGGTGTAAGATAATCATTATTTAAATGTCAACAAATTTCACTTTCAATTTATAATTTCTATGTTTTGATGATGTGATGTTTTTGTGTTCTTTATTGTTGATGGTAATTAATATTAGGTTTCTTTTTTGGAGTGTGTCAGAGGAAAATATGGAAGAATGATGGTATTAGACTGTGCTTTTTTCTAATTAATTTCATTTTACTACATAAGTGTTGAAGAATGAGTTTTTGTGGTGGTTTTCATCAAGTAATTCCAAAGTTAAGGTTTTGATGCCTTCAAAAAGAATTTGATTATAAATACAATGGAATCCTTAAAGATGCTTACAGTATATTTCAATGACAAGAACCACCTAAATCTTTTGTACAACTTTTTTGGGAAATTTAGTTTTTGGTACAAGATGGGGCACCATGACCAGAATCTAGGATGGGGTACGTGATTAGGCAATGCTGAACATCCTAATTTTCTATGTCACATCAGTTCTGTGGCATTTTTTTTTTTTTTTGGTTATGATGTCCTTGCTATTTTGTTGACAACTTCTGTCATCTGTGGTTTATCATGTCATGTAATTGGTCATTAAACTGGAATGAAGGCATTGTTCTTTTAGGTGCATCATATGCATGACATTTTTAGTTCTGCTTGTCAAGATCTCTCACATTTCTGTTATATCTCCGATCAGAATAATACTAAAAGGCTGGTTATGAAGAAATAAAGTCTTCCTCCTTTTATAGGGAGATCTCTTTTTGTATCATAGTGTTGGGAGATACATACGTGTGTATATATATATATATATATATATATATATATATGGCGGGCATGTTACCTGGGGATTCCTCACATCATTCAACCTCTGATAGTGGGCCTTCTAGAAATTCTCAAGAAAAGCAAGAGGAAGTAGGTCGTTGGTATTTTTCAAGAAAAGAAATAGAAGAAAATTCCTCATCAAGAAGGGATGGTATTGACTTGAAGAAAGAGACATACTTACGCAAGTCATACTGTACATTTTTGCAGGATTTGGGCATGAGGCTGAAAGTGTAAGTTCATGGTTTACGTTCAGATGTCGATTTGCCCTGTTGGACTTGAATATTGGGTTTCATTAGTAGACATTCTGATTACGAAGCATCATTTATAATGGAAATAGAAGGTTATTGTAATTTTTTGCATGTTTTGTGTGTTTGCGTGCACATGCATGTCTGTCCCATCTGTGATTAATTTATGTATTCAATTTCTCCATAATTTATAGCATGAAAATTAAAGTAACTTTTGATGTTTATTTTTGGTAGAAAGTTTTTAAATTTGTGTATTTAACATGATTATATCTAAATGTTCAAACATTGAGATATTACCTATTGCAACTCCCAAATTGTTTCAGTGCTGATATCTGCATGGAAAGTAGAACTTGAAATCACTTAATCATAATTTTATAACAGAAAGAAATGATCTAAACTTTTAAAAATATAAAATATCATTCATTTTCCTGTCATTAGTGTTCATAGCTGCTACTACTGATAATTTAGGCAACATTTCCTGGTTTGGATAGGATGCTTTTGTTAAGCAATTCCTGGATTCTAGTTAAAGAATCTTAACGAATAGTTACAAGCAGACTGGTGCAGGAGATGATCTTGTGTGTGCATCCGTGCTCATGCATGTCTGTGTGTGTCAGTTTGTTATTATCCTTCTTTTTATACTCATATGCTTTATCTCTCTAGCAAAATACTCATGCACATAAACGTGTGAGTGCTTTGTCTATGTGTGAATATCTGTCATGCTTTGCCTGGTTTTGGTATTATATTTCTGGAAAAAATGTTCTACCAATAATGGGTGTTAGTTGAGCTTTTCATATGAGAATCAAACCCTGAAAGCATACTATGTGATCATTATTTCTTCTTTTACTTTTGACAATCTTAAGGCTGAAAGGAGTTGTTTAGACATTTTTTGTCTGATCAAATCACACAATGATCTGCACTTCTGACATTATGTTTTTGGATAGACACATTCATATTTGTCGGCTCATATTGAATGAATTTGACTGAATTTCTTACCTGATGCAGTCCCCAGGTAACAATAGCCACAGCAATAATCTTTTGTCACCGGTTCTTCATTCGACAATCACATGCAAAGAATGATAGAAGGGTGAGTTATTATTCTCATTGTCTGGTGAATTGTGTTAAAACTTCTTTATTTAAGCTAAATCCATCTACTCTAGATATTTTCTTTTAGAAATCTAAGTAGTCTTTGTATTTTGATTCCATTTCATTATGAATTTTTACTGAGTTAGCATTTGTTTTGGATGACATAATGTTGGTCTGCGTGCTAGTATGGTTGAGGGGTGAAACCTGTGAAAAGTCTTATAATAGTAGCTTTTAACTTTACCTATCATTTGTATTTCTTATGAAGAATTTTGTTAAGAAAGAGCATTGAGTAGGAACATTTTTATGATCATGTGCTTAACTTCATTTCTTTGCTTGACAGACCATTGCTACTGTGTGTATGTTCCTTGCTGGGAAGGTTGAAGAGACACCTCGTCCATTAAAGGATGTTATTCTTGTTTCCTATGAGATAATACACAAAAAAGATCCTGCTGCAGCCCAGAGGATCAAACAAAAGGTGTTCTTTAAATTAATGATGCTTTCACCAGTTTATTTGCATTCCACTCTTTGATGCTTGAGTTGCCACTTTTCTTCCATTTCGTGTCTCTTGCTCCCTGACTTGTGCAGTTGTTCTCTAACCTGCTCTCAATTGCCATTCCATTTGTGTAATCTTTCTGGTTTCATTTGCCCTCATTTTTTTTTAGGTATCTTTTTCACTCATTTTCTTATTCCTCAGGCATATAAGACTGACCCCCCCTTAATTATATTTTCTTCTTATAAAACCTAACAAGCTGAAATTCCCATGCGTGGTTCGTTATGAGAACTTCACCTTTGAGGTGTTAGTTACGTTTCAAATTTGTCCAATCTATTGATTATTGTGTGATATATTGCCAATGTCTGTAAAGTACTTGGCAAAGACATATAACTTGCTAGCATTGTGGTGGTCTTTCCTTCTGTCAGAATTTATTCTTCTGTTCCTCTTGAACTCAAATTCTTGCTCAAAATCCTCTTCTTTCCTCCAACAGCTGTGTCCTTGGTAAAATATCTCCCTGCAACCTCACTTTTTTGAATTATTGCTAAAATATAACTTTTCTTATTATCCTATTTATTATAGTTTTTAAACTTTTGGTCGCATAATTCTAGTTGTTAGAGTTACTTATTAGCCTCGATATATCTTGCAGGAAGTGTATGAGCAACAAAAGGAGCTAATTTTACTTGGGGAGAGGGCTGTACTTGCCACTTTGGGTTTTGACCTCAATGTTCATCACCCATATAAACCTCTTGTCGAGGCTATAAAGAAATTCAAGGTTGCACAGAATGCTCTTGCTCAAGTTGCATGGAATTTTGTGAATGATGGGTATGTTAAGTTGTGTTTCTTCAAGTTTTTAAAATGATCTCTTCCTCCTGATCACTTTTGACACACTGAAAAGCGGATTGCAGGCTGAGAACGTCACTCTGTCTGCAATTTAAGCCCCATCATATTGCGGCAGGTGCCATTTTCCTTGCTGCCAAGTTCCTTAAAGTGAAGCTTCCATCAGATGGTGAGAAGGTCTGGTGG